CTCAAGCATATTTACTATTGGCAAGAAAATCCTCATATTTTTTTTTCTTTTGCAATTAAGCCAATAAACTTTTCAGACTTTGGAGAAAAATTTTGCAGCCTTTGGCTCCCAAATTGAAGAGAATGAACTGTACGTCCCAAAAAAAAAACTGTTCCTAATGCCTATCTCTTATACACATCTGATACATCAAACACTTAGTGGGCCTAAAAAATGTTTAGTTTCTTATAACTAATTTTAACTATTCTTCCTTCAACCAAATCAACCAAAAAGCATACATCTACAAATCACGCAAGCAAAAGTTAGCAATTGCAAATTGTTTATTGAAAATAGCTATACCAAAGCAAGAGAAACTTAATAGTTAGTTTCACCTTGAATCTCAAATTGCAATAGCCATGACCCTTGAGCCTCTATAGATGTTGTGAAGAGAAGAAGATACTAGCTGTGTGCAAAAATAAAATTAGAAAAAAAAAAAGACGCTAAAGAAAGGCAGAGGAGATGTAAAAAAAAAAAAAAAAGTTTGTTGAGAGGTTTATTTTGAAAAGATTTTTTTTTTTGAACATGCATGAGAATATTTTGAAAAGATTTGTCATGAATTAAATTAGGATTTGTCATTTATTGTCCTCTGGATTAAGTAATTGATGAAGTATTAAAAAATTGATGTGGCATTTTTTATTGGTTAAACCCTTATTTTGGTCCTGAATTATTGTATGAACTCTCAATTTGGTCTTTAATATAAAAAAATCCTTAATTTGGTCCTTGAACTATTATACGAACCCCTGAATTGGTCCCTAAACTATTGTATGGACCCTAAGTTAGTCCCTAAACTATTATATGGATCCCCAATTTGGTCCCTACTGTTTACCGATTTAGCCCCAACTTGGTAATTCTATTAAATAATAGCTTATGGACTAAATTGGGGTAAAATTGTAAACAGTAAGGACCAAATTAAGGGTCTATATAATAGTTTAAGGACCAACTTAGGCTAAATTATAAATAGTGGGGGTCAAATTGGGGGTCTGTATAATAGTTTAGGAATCAAATCAAGAATTTTTTTAATTTAAGGACCAAATTAAAAATCTGTACAATAATTCAACCACCAAAATAGAGATTTAACCTTTTTTAATTGGTTAGGAGACCATGCTAAGATACAACACAAACTTTCTCAAAAAGTTATCCTGAGAGCTCACTTTTCCATGAAAAATTATAAATGTTGCACTCTTGTGAAAAAAAAGAAGAAGAGTTTTTTGGGTTTTTTTATGAAATTGTTTAATTTATGTCTTTAAAATATAATTTAAAATTTATTAATCAAGATATTTTTAATTAATTGTAT